GGTTTCTAAAAATATGATCCCTGGACTAACTGGAGTGCTTGTTTAAAATGCGTATTCTCAGATGGTCTGAATCTTAATTGTTAAAGTGTGAACCCAAGATATCTATGTTTTAACAAGTACCAAATCTGAGAACCATCACTTCCTTGAGTGAAAAAGGCCAATACCAATGTCAACTCAGTAATTTTGTTAAGCTTTATAGGCACACTGGAGTCTTTGCTAGCATTCATTATGCTTTTCTGTCTCCATGACCTGTGTTGATTGATTTTTCCTCTGCTTAAAATTCTCTATCCCAACTTTACCTGTTGAAATCCTGGCTATTTGGCAACCTCTTTTATGTATGCTTCTTGTGATGTTCTCAAATCACCTCACAATTATATGTGTGTCTATAACGCTTTTTACACAATTGTGATGGTTTTATAATGCTTTTAAACACCTATGTATATGTTACTATTATGTATGGTTCTGTAGTGTTTTTATACAGTTATGTTTTTTACATGTTTTTAAACGCCTATGTATAAGTCACTTATATTGTGAAGTTAGAAATAGAGAGTTTCTGAACTTAGAGACATGTACACTTCTATAATGCTCTTTAACCATTAGCTATGTTATTAGAAAGCTGTTCTAATCTTGGAAATAGATAATAGTAGTTCATAAATAACCTCCCTAAATTGGGCTGTCCACCTATACTCTGTGATAATGGAATGTAACATTAATCAACTCTCTGTAAATTGACCTTGAGACAAAACATAAGTACGTCACAAAACAATTTCCATAATTTTCAGTTAATTAAATCTATATATTTACCCTGGCTCATAAATATGCCATACAACAATTCTCTAATTGGCAATAAAGCATAATATAAATTTGCAAAACATAAATATGTTATACCACAATTCCTTAATTGGCAATAAAACATTAATGCCAATTATGGTTAAACACGACAGCAGCTAACCTTTATCTTTCAAAGTCAAGGTGAAGGAATAGTATATAAGCCAAAGACTTCGGCTCACTTACTGGAGCAGAAGAGAGAGGCAAAAGGTCTCTTTGATTCTTGCTTCCTCTAAAGACACCTTATATGACTCCCCCATAGGTCCTGCTGAGATACTGCCTGCCACAACTGATCTTGGGCCCTAGCTACGGGGGACCTCCTCTGACTTTAAGGGGTGCTCAGTATTCCACCTTAAGACCATTCATTATAGGTAAAAGCCTGAAGTCTAAAGATGTGGACTGTAACCATTAAACTAACATTGTAATCGTTAGTTCTGTTTCTCCAGTGCTAAATGAATGTCTTGAGGTCTTACTTGCATGTCTTGTCATAACTACCTTACAATAAACTAAATGAGTTCATGCATGACAAATCTAAACATTTCTTTAATTTTTAAGATTAAATCCTCCAGGACAGCCTCTATCAAAATGCTACCTTCTTCACAAAGGTTTTCATTATCCCCTGCATAGTTATGATCATACCCTCCTGTGAACTCTCTTCACAGTTTGTTTGTATTAGAAATATGCTTCTTTCTTATCCATTCCACAAAATTATGATCTCCTTACAAGAAAAGACAGTGTTTTAGTGACCTTTATAAACCTTTAACCCTTAAGTGTCCAGCTGCCTCGCATGTAGCAAGAACTCAATTAGATTCAACTAAGTTTATTGAGAATCTAGATCAGAACTTAATATAACTGAAAGACCTCCTTATGTCTCATATATACTATGTTCTTTTATAAACAATTTGAAGACAGCTCCATTTTGTTGACTATTGTTTAACTTGTGATTTATAATGACTCTCAAGTCTTTGTTATTTATTCATGGTTGAAACTACTGAAAGTTCATTATGTTTAGAAACTATGGAATGGGAATGGGTTTTGCTGTGTATATTTTAACCAAAAATAAAATAAAATATTAAAAAAAAGCTCATCACAGACCTCAAGATCACAAAAAACGAAGCAAAACAACAAAACACTTTTGATAGGTGCTATAAAACACTGAGCAGACCTCTTAGAATTACAAGTAACCAAATATCTGCTATCAGTGTCCCTTGCTCTTACCACTCTGGGTTTGTATTTTCAAATTTTCTTTTTCAATGATAAGCCATCATTTTAAGAAGTTCCATTTTACATGGTAAAATTCAAACATTTTCACTCTGTAGAAGTGATGAGAAGATCCCAAGTTACGTTACTGTGGAAAACTGTACGCATTTCCTGTTCTCAGTTCTAATAGGGCTGTGGGGACTTTTCCTCAGCATTTCTGAATGTTCATCTTGTGTCTTATACCAGACATGAGCATTTGGACAAGAAGGAGGATGGTTTTTAGGAAAGTTATGAGCTTCCAAGCTTACAGAAAATAAAATAAGGTCCAAGATAATCAGATCTTTCTGGCCCTTTTTTACTTTTCTGGAGACCTCCTCTTGCAATTTTCCCTTTGAGAACGTGCCCTATCCAGTGCTTCACAGGATTAATAGGCTGCAAAAGTGGAGGAGTAAACCATCCTTATGGGGTCTAGTAAAAAGAGCAAGGGTGGAGTGGAAAATAAAACCAATTTCCAGGGCTTCATCCCGGGGCTGGCCATGAATTTAAACGTAGGTGGCTACCTAATGTGGCATGATTTCAAGAGGACAAGAAGGTCTCCTTTAAGAAAAATTGGACAACATTCTTTCCCACCAGCTGGCTGGGGTCTGAACTCCTTTATCTTAAGGATAAACCTTTTTCCCTGTAGACAGAGTTTAGAATTGGAATGCCAGACTCCCACCTTTAAAGCTGCAGCCCAGGAACTTAAGTCTGCCATCTTTCTTGAGGAACGCCATTGCCCCACACAGACTCAGATCTGTGGAGCACGTGTAATGGACCCCAGAACTTTTGCATTTTTTTGCTTTTCAGCTGAGTTACTGTATCAGCTATTTCAGGTTGTGTTTAGTTGTTTTTTGGGTACCACTCGCATACTTATTTGTGTTTTACTTATATTTTGGAGCTATTTTTTCCACATGAAGTTATCCAAAATCTATAGCACTTTGTTTTAAAGAGCAAATGGGTAATATCAAAGCTTCTAGGCATACACTGAGTCTTCAAAAACCACAGAAAAAATTCTGATGGAAAATTATTTAAAATTTAAGATATTTACAAGTAAAATACAAACAGCACAAAAGGAATAATTTAGCCTTTAAATAATACCCAAGAAACCCTTGAAATCCCAAGAGCTAGGCAATCAATCTAAAATATGGAACTCTCATTCTTGAATTTGAAATAATCAATGCTGTCCTGAGACCAGGCTTTAAGGACATATAAGAGAGAGGTACAAGACACTGAAAACCACTATCCCAGATGATTGAATACAGGCCTCCCCTAGTGGCAGTGTTTTGTCTTTTGCTGTACCTTTCCTATTTTCTGGATCTTGATAACATGTCTTCTCTCATACTCCAAACGAATAGGATTCTGCTTGGTTACTCCTCAATCTTTACCATGTTTTCTGTGCTTGAAAATTGGATCCCACAAATCAGAGAAGACTCTGGCAGAGTACCTTTTGTCCCTCGCTGCAGAAAAAAATGCCTTCGAAATCCCTGAGGAGTGACCACATGCCGGGAACCAGTACTATAGTACTACACTTCTCCTTCCAGCAATATAAGCTTCCGATTAGTAGGAGCAAACAGAGTCTTCTGGCAACCCTTGCCTCTTAAAGGCATCTTTCTAGTTACTGAAACTGGAATGTAATAAAAAATGAAGATGACTGGGCTCCCTAGTTAATCTTCCATCAATGATGGCTACTCTGTGACCATACATGTCCCCTGGCTTAGGTGGAAGCAGAGCGGGTGGCACATCATTGCTAATGCATCTCCTTCTGAGCCTCTTTTTCCTTTGGAAACCACCACATTTGAGAAAAGATCTATAATGGTAAAGGGTTAGGGAAGTAAGTGTTCTTTGCCTTGGATTCATCATCAAAAGAAAGGTACAGGGATGAGATGGGGTAGAATCCTAGGTTAATTTCAATGATTCTGCTGCCAAACCTATTGAACCCATGATCCAAGAGGTCAGGTAATAACATACTCATTCGGAGGACACTCCACTTCAAGTATGGGGATAAGGATGCCCCAGTGTGATGGTTAATGCTATGTATCAACTTGGCTAAGCTACGATTCTCAGTAGTCTGGCAAATATTGGACTGGGTGTTCTTCCATAACGTAATGTAATATAATCATCTTCCATGATGTGATCTGATGTGATCAGCCAAGCAGTTGAAAGGGGAGTTTTCTTCAGAGTGTGGCCTGCCTCCAGGATATAAATGGATGTTCTGGCAAAACTCGCTCTCTCTTTTGACCCTGCACTCTTCTCATCACCTTACTTCCAGTCCTTGGGACATAAGCCTGCAGAAGTCTCCAGCCTGCTGCCTGACCCACAGATTTGGGACTTGCCAGCCCCCACAACTGTGTGAGTGATTTTCTTGAAATCTCTCTCTCTCTCTCTATATATATATATATATATATATTTATATATATATCTCACCGGTTTTGCTCCTCTAGAAAACTCAGACTAAGGCACTCAGGTATGAAACACCATATTATACTCTAGATCCTCATCAGAACTGTTGTCACATCTGTTTAAGATGGTATCATATGTTTTGCTTGAGAGGAGGTAGAAAAAATTGAGTCAGATTAAATCATTTCTTATGGCACCCTCTCTTCTTCCCACATCAATCTTTTAAGTACTAGATTCATAGAGAATCAGAAATTTTGTTTTGACTATGTAGAAAACTACCAACTGCTCAGAGACAAGGCCAAGATGGCAGAATAGTCAGACACTTCCTGTCATCCATCTTACGACAAAAACAAGTGAATTAGTTATATATGACAATCTAGGAACCCTAATAATCAAAAACAAAGCTGAAGAGTCAGACTGAGCAGCAGGGGGAAGGAGAGACAATTCAAAAGCAGCAGAGAAGTAGTGATCATGAGATCACCAGGCCCTGCTAGCTGGAGCTGAGGCAAGCAGCAACATTCAAAGACAAGCCTCACCGCATCGGGTGTAGTCAAGCAGCAGCAAATCTGCACACACCTCCAGAACCAAGTAGTCGACACCAGACCTGCGAATGTTAAGTGCAAGCTTCTAACCTACCGCGCAGGGGCAAAATGACCCCTCCTCCTCCCAGAATTTCACAGTAAAGAAGTGCTTCCTTCCCCTAACTTACCTCCCATGATGCTACGCTCTGACACCAGTCCGGTAGTATTCAACAACTGCCACGTCCCCTAAGCTAGTAACTCAGGGATCTCTGTGCCCACACCAGTCTCATGGCCACTTTGCCCTGCCACCTGCATAAGGGATCCACGGACTTGCAGTGTCCTTCACTCTTCCCAGACCTGTGTGGGATGATTCAAAACCACATGCTTACATTAGCATAAAGCAACAGGGCATACATCTGAACCCAAATTCAACTGCAGCAGCCAAGGGGGAGCTGCAGATTTGCAACATTTGACACCACCCTGTGCCTAAGCAGGGGCTTCACTCACCGACTCCAGGGAAGTGAGGGATGGAAGTACCATCCACTCTATCTAGCCATCCACAACAGGGGTCGGAGAACAAGTGGTGCCTCCAAGTCCCTCCAACCAACAGCACCAGGTACCCAAGGACAGGCTGCAAAACACCCTTACTACGTACTCTAGGGGATAAGGACATGCCGTCCACCTAGGCACCTGGCAGCACTCATCAGCCACCTACCTTGCTCTACACATAGCCCCCTACTGCAGCCACATAACTGTGCCTGCTCCAAACACCCCTATGCAGCTCTGCCCATCTAGGACTGTAGGTGAGAGTCTGCACCACACACTTAGTGACTGACAACATGGACACTTATGCTACACCCTACAAGAAAAATGAATAGACTCCTGGGCTCACACACCTAGTAGCTCTGACCACCTGAAGACAGCATGTGAGAGCTTCAAAGATGCGAACTACCAAAGTAGCTCACACACCAAGGCTACTTGGGCATATCAAAACAAAACAAAAGTTAGGACACAGTAAACATACAATAAATAAATATGATGATTTATTGATGCCTTGGAGAAAACAGTCAATATGAAATCACATAAAGAAGCATGACAAGATGGCTCCAGTAACTGACCAAAATAAAGAACCAGGAAACCTTCCAGAGGAATATAAGGTAATGAAATTACCTGAGAAAGAATTCAAAAGATTAATATACAGAGCTCTGCAAGAGATCAGGAAGGAGATTAGGCAAAATTCAGAACAAGCTGAAGAACACAGACAAAGCTATACAGGAATTCAGGAAAACAGTTCAAGAACAAAATAACAAAATTAGCAGGCTGATAGAAACTACATACAGACAGCAACTAGAAATCCAAAAGATTAACAATAAAATTTCAGAATTAGACAACTCAATAGAAGGTTATAGGAGAAGAATTGAGACACTGGAATCAGCATTAGTGAGACTGAAGATAAATCCCTTGACACCAAACTATTTGAGGAAAAATCAGAAAAAAGAATTTGAAAAAATGAAGAAAGCCTAAGAATTATGTGGGACACTATCAAGAGGAAAAACCTATGAGTGATCAGAGTACCAGAACAGGGGGAATAACAGAAAACACGGAGAGAATTGTTGAAGAATCTCTGGCCGAAAATTTCCATGATATTATGAAAGAAAAAAAGATATCTATCCAAGAAGCTTAACGAACGTCATACAGGCTAGACCCAAAAAGAAAGTCACCAAGACATATCATAATCAAACTTGCTAAAACCAAAGACAAAGATAGAATCTTGAGAGTGACTAGGGATAAACAAAAAAATCACCTATAAAGGAGAACCAATGAGACTAAGCTATGACTACTCAGCAGAAACCATGAAGGAAAAAAAAATTTCCAGCCAAGAATTATATATCCAACAAAACTGTCTCTCAAATACAATGGCAAAATTAGGTCATTTCCAGATAAGCATAAATTAAGGGAATTTGTAAAAACCAAACCAAACTTTCAAGAATTATTAAAGGGGATACTTCAGTTAGAGAAACAATATCAGAAAACAATCCTATACTAGAACACAGGACAGATCAACAAGTTATCAACCCAGATATGGAATTCACAAAAACAAATCAAAGCTAAATGACTGAAAATAGGGAACCAGAGACGTCAATATGTAAATGATGACAACGCCAAAACAAAAAAGAGGGAATAAACAGTATAGTCATAGAACTTCCACATAGTGAGGAAGTTAAGGCATTACCAAGAAATAAAAGATTGGTTTAAATGTAGAAAAATGAAGGTAAATTTCAAAGTAACCACATAAAAAGCTAACAAACCTACCTATCAAAACAAAAAAAAAAGAAGAAAAATATAAAGACTCAGCAAACACAAAATCAACAAGAATGGAAAAGAGGAGGGAGTTCCGGCAAATGGCACTCTAGGCAGAAGCACCACGCTGTCCCTCCACAGCAAAGATCCGAAAAACTAAGCCAAACAGAGAAAACAACAATCCTGAAACCCTAAAACATCAAATGAAGAGATAAAGAACTCAGCCAAGCACCAAATGGAGTGAGAAAACTGACAGAGAACAGACAGCGAGGAGACATTCATGCAGAAGTCTGCTACCAGCTAACGCAGCGCAGATCAACATCTTGGACTCCTATCGGAGACCAGAGAACAGGGGGTACGAGAAAGCAGCCTCACGGAGAGTCCAGCGGGAGACAAAACAACTGGTAATTTCCGATATATGCTTTCCCACCCCGCACCCTTCTTCACCCTGACTCGGGCTCCTCTGCTTCCTGCGGCGACAATCTCTTGACCAGGAAACACCGGCTGCTTGGATTCTACCCACCCGAACGGGCCGGCTCTCTGCGTGCCATTTGTTGGCTGCTGGTGTTGCTTTTTTCAGCTTCTTTTGATTTCTTCCTTACCTCTCACCACCTCCCCCTCCTTTCACTCAAATACCTGGCTCCGTGTGCCATCTTTGCTTCTTCCTGAGGGGCTGCATAGCTCTGGTAATTTGTGATATATGCTTTCCCACTCCCTACCCTTCTTCACCCACACTCAGCCCCTTCTGCTTCCCGCAGACACAGTCTCTTGTCCAAGAAACACCAGCCCGCAATAGCTGGCTCTCTGAGTGCCATTTGTTGGCTGCTAGTGTTGATTTTTTTTCTGCTTCTTTGATTTCTTCCTTATCTCTCACCACCTCCCCCTCCTTTTGCTCAAATACCTGGCTCCCTGCACCATCTTTGCTTCTTCCTGAGGGGCTGTGGAGCTCTGTTCGAGTGTGGAGCTGCTTCCCGGTCTGGGCTGCCATGCTGGTGGGATCCCGGGGCTTTTGTTCGTTTGTTTGTTTTGAATTTTTTTCTTTTCCTTTTCTTGAGTTGGGAGCCCTTTCTGGTCAGGCAGTGCTGCGTGGCAAGGAGACATCCCCCAAGGCTTGCACAGACGTGCAGAGCGATCCCTGAGGGCATTTCTTACTTTTTGTTTTTTTTTTCTGTTTTTTGGGGGGCCTTTATTGTTCTTTTTTTTAAATTTGTTTTGTTTTCTTTTCCCTCTTTTTCACTTTCTGTCTTTCTTCACTTCTCAGTTTCTAGTCTCTCCATATCTTCCTTCTCTTTCTGTTCCATGAATACCTGGCATTGTATACCTCTACGCCTTCTAGCCAGGCTGTACTGCAACACCTGAGAGCAACTTCCCCAGACCTCATAGCTGTACCAGTGGGATCCATGGGAACTTTGTGGTTCTTTAACTTTTCCGATTTTTATTTATTCATTCTTTTCTTTTCTTCCTCTTCACCTTTCTGTTTTTCTCCATTTCATAATCTCTCATCTCTCCAC